ACTCCCGTTCCTGGATATTTTACTTGGGCATGGCCCAAACGGTAAAATAACACACAGCGTTTACAGAAAGCCAACGCACACTGATGCCTATCTGAATGCAGATTCGCATCATCACCCAGCTCAGAAATCCTCTCTTATCAAGACGCTCATACATCGGGCTAAAACAGTGTCAGATGGTGAAAGTCTAGTGAGAGAGATTAAACATGTTAAAGAAGCACTAAGACAGAATGGCTACAATAATGCTCAAATTAACAGAGCACTAAAAGCCAAATCACGATCGCAAAGCAACACTGCTGAAAGCGATCAGATTATTAAAACAATAAAAATACCATTTATCTCAGGAGTAACTGATAAATTAGCCCGTGTTTTGCAAAAGCAAAACATTACAGTAAGATTTGGTACAGTACACAAAATTCAACAACTAGTAACGTGCACTAAAGACGAATTACCTAAATTATCAACAGAAGGTGTATATCGGATTAATTGTGTATGTGGCAGATGCTATATTGGACAGACAGGGCGTAACGTTAGTGTAAGACTTAAAGAACACCAGAGAAATATTAAACTATCACAAACACAACTGTCGGCAGTAGCAGAACATGCATGCCAACAGGGACACTCAATTGATTTTGACAACGTGGAAGTGTTGTGTAAAACTAGTTACTACTGGCAAAGACTAATTAGAGAATCGATTGAAATTGAGAGAAACAGAAATAACTTTAATCGCTCAGACAGCTACAGGCTTAGTGCGGCCTGGAAGCGTATTATTAAATAAGATACATTACAATTACTTATAAGGGAAACAACCACTAACAGATTACTAATGTAGCATAATCACAATAAAACACATTCCAAATGATTACTAATCTACAACTCGCATCGTAACAATAGCCTGATTACTAATCTAGTATATAATTACAATCACTCCCCCCTTGAATCTTTGCACCTGATGAGTTAATGAGTTAATGATGACGTCATCCTGCTGCTGCTCTATATAAGAACGGGAGACACAGGAGAGCCTCACCATTCTGGCGAATTGCCCGATGATGCTGGTTGTAATTACCAGCGAAACGTCGTACTCAAATTGTGAATGTTGTTGCTTCAACACACCGGTGGGCTAAAGCAGTGAACTATTTGTCTTTGTCAACGTGACACATTTTTTACTGATTGGCCGTGTCGGGTGGTGGAGGGTTACGACACATTTATAAATAAACGCGATCTAAACCCAAAAATCGTTGATTACAGCTTAGTTTGTAGACGCCGGGGTATTGCATGTCAGGGATCCTATCCTTCACAGATATAATCAGATCACGAATGTTATGCACTGTGCTAAATCTAACCTGGATCTTGCGTTTGCTCATGATTTTGGAAATCTTTTTGGTGACCCCTGCTATATATGGCAAGGTGATGGTTTTGATTGGGTCCTTAGATGGTTCTTTCCCAACGGTTGGGGTGATAGCTTTATGGATTGTGTAGTCAGAATATCCATTCGTCTTGAGAGCTTGGTGCACGTGTTTCAGTTAACTGGCTAGGTGATGATGGTTGGAGATACATCGAGCTCCATGGTATCGAGTGTTGATGAGGGAATTATTCTGGGATGGATGGTGGTGGGAGTCCGGTTTTAGGTAGGCATCAGTATGGGTGGCTTTCCTGTAGACAGTGGCCCATTCAGACATCTGGTCTCTTTTCGATTCGAACATCCAAGAATGGTAGCTTGCCATCCTTTTCCACCTCCATGGTGAATTTGATGGCTGGGTGTATGGAATTCATGTGGTTGAGGAATTGGTTCAGAGCTGGTCGGCCATGTGGCCATATGACGGATGTGTTATCTACGTACCTCTTCCACAAGGACGGACGTAGAGTGGGTGCCTGGATGGCGTCTGTCTCAAAATTTTCCATGAAAACATTGGCTACAACCGGAGATAAGGGAGAACCCACTGGGGTGCCTTCAACTTTTTTGTAGAATGTTCGATTCCAGGTGAAATATGTGTTGGTGAGGAAATGTCTCACCAGGGCCGGTACATCAGCATTCAATCCTTGTTGGACCAAATCTTCAATGATTGCAATGGTGTCGGGCACAGGAACTTTGGTAAGCAAAAAAACTACATCGAAACTAATGAGCAAATCACCTAAAGATAGTGAGATGTCATTAATTAACGATACCAAGTGAGCTGAGTTAAGTACAGATGAGGTGGTCTTACCAGTGAATGGTTGCAAGGTCTCAGACAGAAATCGGGCCAGTTTGTAGGTAGGTGAGTCAATGGTGGAGACGATGGGACAAAGAGGTGTACCTTCTTTATGGATATTTGGTAAACCATACAATCTGGTTTCAAAATTAATAACGTAACCATCTCCACTTGTGCTGGCCACAGGGCCCTTGTGCCCCACCCACTTCGTTGGGTGCGCTGCAAGTTGACACTTGTGTTACGCCCATTTTTAAACTTTAAAAACAGCTTGCCTTTGGGAGCTTTCCCCCCTTTTTTCCACCTGAAGACGATCGCTTGTGTTGTGATCGAAACGTCGTGGTTTTTTGTTCTTTTTTTAATTTATTTTGAACCTATCTACGTGACTTTATCGAAAGACCCAAAGAATATGCACAATGTTACGTCCATAATAGAGGGGGGGTATTGGGGTTAGATCGCATAAATATATAAATGTGTCGTTAAAACCCACCACCACCCGACACAGCCAACTAGTAAGGGTTGACACGTAAACAGAACGTGGCCAGTTCGTCACTAGTACAGCACACCAGTGTGTTGGAGAGCCAAGCCACAACATTTACAATCGTTTCGCCAGTAATTAGAACTAGCTTCATCAGGCGACTGCCAGATTTGTGGAGAATTTCACCTGTTTCGTTCCTTATATAAAGGTGTAGATATGGTGACCACACTTCTGCACTCTTGCGTAAAGTAGGGGGGGGGAACAATGTTACGTATTTACACTTTGCAGACAAACATTTGTCATCTATGCTGCCATGCTTTAGATCAATGTTCTACACAGGACCACTGCCAACGCGATATCTGTTTCAAGCAAATGTCCCAAGCAGGAATATACACAAATAAAATATTAAACGATTTCTCGGCCTTGGCCGGCATCCATAATGGCATGGGCTCATGTGGCATTGAGTCTGCAAAATGCTGCAGTCACTCAGTAGGGATATGTGATCACTCCTTGTGATTGACATGATAAGGCACTCGCTTCCTGAGCGTATTGGTTGGTCCTGGTTGCTTGCTGGAACACCGTGCAGTGAGTTGTGTTGTAGGGGCTCTTCACGAGGCCCATAGCCAAGCCTCGTGAGTGCTGACAAATCATGAGCTTAAGGGAATGGAAGAGGGCCCAAAGGTCCATGACCCAAAATCTGGTCAGGAAAATAATTTATCCATGGTTCAAGTTCATGGTTATGTGTAATCCAGCCGTGATTAGCACTGCTACAGCCTGTCCTCCTGTGTTCTCTCAGCAGACACGTGTGCAAGTGCCTAAACCTAATTTTAGGAATTGTATGCATAATAACACTGTTAAAGAAAATTCTAGGTAAAGAGTTCACGATTGCTTTTTCACAGTGTGTGTTTTCAGTATTTTTGGCTGTGCAACATAATGCTATGCTGATGCCATAGCATTTTAAAATATGTGATTCCACGCCAAGTGATAAGGCACCGAAAGCTACTGCCTATAGGGACAGCTAAGTGAAGGAGGGCAAGCGAGCTCATCTTTGATTTCCAGGAAAGCTTGGTTTCTCACGCTCAGGAACTCCGTGCTGCTGTAAGAAATGAGCATGGCTGGTGGAGGCGGCGGCGGCTCCCTTCTGCCGCGTGCCTTTCGAACACGATGAAGGCACAGCGAGAGCACGGCGATGCATCCCAGCTCGACCAGAAACACGGCCGCCACGATCGCCGCGTTGAGTCGCCATGGGCCACCGGCGGGCGCGGTGAACTCGGCCGTGGCGGCAGCGGCGGCGTCCGCGTCACCAAACGACCGCTCGGTCTCCCAGCAGCGGCTGTGACCCGACCGGCCGATGGCCGCCACGCACACCTGGTAGCGCCCATTTGGACGCAGGCCCCGCAGCACGTGGCTGCGCCAGGTGGCGTGTACGAGCAGCGATGAGCCGGCGTTGTGCGCCGGCTCGCCGTCCACGGCGCGGTAGGCGACCGCGAACGCCCGCACGCCGGAGCGAGGGGAGCACCACCGCACCTCCACGTCCGACTCGCTCACCGGCACGACGGCGAGCAGCCGAGGAGCCGTCGGACGCACCGGCGACGTGTTGCATGGACAGCCGCCGCGCTGCCACGGTGCGCGGCAGGGCGGCTGAGGGTGGTGGCAGGGATCCACGTCGCACGGCTCCGCCTGCCGGTACTGGGCGACGCCCGACTCATTGCCCACACCGGCGATGTTTTCTTCCATTTCAAAATCGAAGGTTTCGTAGGAGAAACTGGGAGGCCCGAACAGAAGATGAGGGTCGATGGCTTGCGGCGGGCGCGTCTGGAACGCAGTGGCGTGCTTCGGTGTCGGTGTTTGAAAAATGGCAGGATGCGTCGTGGACGCGTCCTCGGGGGAGTTTGTTGGGTATTCTTTAGAAGTAAAGAGACTAAGTGGTGGGGTCGTGTTATCCGAAGTTATCGATTTATCCACAGTTGTGGTGTCGCTGTCAGCAGACAGAGTAGTGCGGATGATGGGTGCTGGGTTTGAGAGGTAATGGGCATCGTAAGGTTGAGACGTGGATGGCTGACGTGTCCTTCCTTGTGTGTTATCGTGGGATGTGTAGGGTTGTGTTGTGTGCCCATTATGTACGCTTTGCCTGCGTGCTGTGGGTTCTGGTGTGAATGTTGCGGGTGCGCGTGCGGTGGTTGTGTCCGTGTCTGGCTGGAGTGTGTGCGCTGTCGGGGATTCTGGCGTATGTTCACCGGGCAGGTGTGTGTGCGGTTGAGTGGCGTTTGGGTTTCGTGTGTGAGTTGGTGTTGGTTGAGAATTCAGGCTTGGCCTGTCCGTGTGTTGTTGCTCCGTACCTGGTTGAGCTGTTTCAAATTCAAAGGTGCCAGGGATGTGTGCGGTGGCTGGGTTTGCTGTGCCCATCGGAGGTTGTGACGTGGGAGCTTGCTGCGTGTGGGGTAGTCGTGTTAGGTTTGAGAGCAAATTCTCCCGGGAGAGGGCACCGCTGGGAGTGCCGCTCTTATTTCCTCTCTCGCACAGAGTCACCACAATCTGTTCGGCTGAAGGAGAGGTTGTCTTTGAATTACGGGTCACACAGTGGATCTCTTGTGGCCTGTAAAACATATGTTCATATAATTGTATTATTACTCGGTTTCAATCGTTCGCTGTATAGTTTAACACTTGTTTTTTTCGTCAGAACATTTCATCTTGTGACACTGGATAGAAAAAAACATAAATTTTAGCCATACCACTTAACCACGTGTATATATTGAGCTGTGAACGTGGTTTCTAAAGTAAAAGAGATGTTTATTTGTTTCCCCGAGGCTAATGCTTAAGAGTAGCACTTGCACACATACTCCACCATAAATGCATGCAAAGCAATATGGGTGTCTTCCAAAACGCTGTGTTATCTAAAGCTGCACACAGTGACTAACAGTGGTGGGAATAGGCCAAAATGCCCCGGAACGCCGTGGTGGGAGTGACATTTTTAACCCGACTGTTGTATTGATTTGACTCACAGATAGACCCCTCGACCAACAGAGAGACCCACAGACACGCATAGAGACCCACGAACACACAGAGACCCACATATACTCTCAGAGACCCACAGACAGGCACAGAGACCCACACACAGAGCTAAGCTCCTGCTCATGCCCCTCCTCCTCAGATCTAGTCGCGGGTGGGGTGGGGGGAAATCATTGATGAGTTCCCCCCAGTAATTTCTTCCCATTTCCAGCCCTGGTGACTGATGAGAACATTAGCTTGAGCAGTGAGCAAATCTGACAATTCTGAGAGCATTCCCTCACCTGCTGGAGTTGTTCTCTTGGCCTCCCGGAATCTGAGCATCGCTCAGTGTTAAATAGAAAATGAAGACGGAATGCAGAAGATGTAGCACGCTGTGCTCCATGGTCTTGTTCTGGGTTGTTTTTCTTTTCTGTGAGAGCATCGCGGAACATCCATCACATTGATTGCACTCACTTTGAGAAGAGGAAGAAAAGACCGTTATGGCTAATGAATAGGAGGGGGGGGGGGGGCGTAACAGTTTTCCACTGGTTCTGTGCACCACGTTGCGAACCACGGGCGATAATTTCGTTTCGATACACTGCAAACCGGTCCTGGCCACTGCTCTATGGCCCTGTTCTCCACCATCCTGCACTGCAGCCATGAATATAAACGCTGAACGACAAATTTCACTTGCCTGGCAGCTTCGGCAGCAGTTTGTTAACCCTTTGGATGCAGGGTTTAAAAATCAATTCAAGCGTGAACTTTTGTTGTCTAATTTCTACTGCGGTAAGTTCATAAACACAACTGTAATTGATTTTCAAATGTACAATTTGATTCCTGTACCGTGAACATAACAATAACTTTTTATCAATCAAACCATTTGAGTTCCCCGCCTGGAATTTAACACGCGGCTCAGATTGTCGGCCATCTTGTCATCTTCACCGTGCCCGAAACAGTGGCGAGACTGGGAGTGTTGCGCTGTGTAGAAGGGGCCATTGCCCGAAACGTCGCCTGTTATATACCTTTAGATTTTTTTAAGGTCACAGTGTTGTTGACAAACGTGTTGAGGTTGTATGATAATTTGTGCTTGTGCACCACGGCCAACGCAGCAGCAGCATCAATCGCCAAATACAGTAACGCGTTTAACGTAGTGTTAGGGGGTTTATGGTACGGCAATAAATACATAATTATTGAGTAAATGTACAGAACGTTTCTTTCAAAAGTTAAGGGAGTAACAATTGACACCAATAACTGTTACCTAAACATGCCGCTTAACACATGTATAAACTTTACATCCAAGTATACACATGCACAGACTAAAAACAATGATCCCTCGTAAAGCCTTAATCGACTTTTTGGGGAAAGTGCTGTTCGCGAGCACTTATGAAGGCCGGGACGGCACACGAGGGGGTGGGTGGGTGGCCAGCACCACGCCCCAGTGGCGATGTTTACGCATCTCAGCAGGTACTCATTTGAGGCTGAGTCGACCTAGGGGGAGGCACAGGACCGGTTCCAATAATATTCACCGGCGTTGGCCATGAGCACGAATGGAACTCGGGTCGCCGGGTTTAACCGCTACACAAACCGCTTCCCACACACGCACATGCACCCTAAATTATCTCACATGCCTACACAAAACTATTCTGTACAATGTCTACAGTTGAATCAAACGTAGGATACACAAACACGGGATACGTGGTTTGACCGCACAAACAGTATCAACAAAACAAAGCAACTAGCTGCATCTTGCATACATTATAAACACAGTGTTTCTGACAAAGGAGGTAAGATTGGTCGAAATCAACCGCTGTTCAAACTAGGATTTAAATGTACTATTTATAACAATGTTTTTAACCTTGATTTGAAGCTTTCGTGACTGCAGGAATTACTCTTTTGTTCTTTCGGTAAAGTCGGTAAAGTGTTTTGTCTCTCTCTAATTTAGTTCTACCTGATGACGGTTGCTTGTGTTGTAATCTAAACGTCGTATTATATTATTTAATTTATTTTCTTTCTACGTGACTTTACCAAAAGAACCAAAGAGTAAGTTTTAAAACGTATCACATTACAGTGTTCCTTAGAAACACAGCCGTATTTGGTACGGCCTTCGTTAAATCAATAGAATCATACGCGAGCAGATGTGAATGATGATGCATTTACGACTCTTTGGGGTTGTCCGCAATGTTGTCGATAACCCAGCGAGGTTTTTTTGTTTTCCCACAACCACAGCAGCCCCACTTCTGTCTGCGGGTAATCCAATTAGAAATACAAATGACTCCTGCGGTGGGAAGCTGTCGTCGTGGTGACGATCAGCACGCCGGACTTTGCAATGCAGGTCGCCGGTTCCGTTATCCCCGCCACGGCAGTCGAATCAATGGTGCGCGTTTCTTATAAACCCACCGCATATGGCCACCTCTTTCAAGACCACTGACCAACTCGGAAGAGAAGGCTAAAGTACCCTCTGGATGGGCTCGAGAGAGAGAGAGAGAGAACTCATGAGAGTGGAGGCGCTCCCGCAGGGCTGTCCCTCTACTGCCTGTACTACTGTGTAACATGAAATGTGTCTGCTAATACCTGTGGGTTTATCAGCTCAACCTCCGATTAGCAGGGTTGGCTACGTACGGTGTGAAATAAAAACTCAACTAAACATTTGTTTTACCAGGTAAAGCCAACTGAGGTATTTTGCTCTTTTTCAGAAGCGACCTCGCCACAAATGATACTCAACGAAATGGCTCATCATGTGGAAATTTAAAGCAGCCAAATACACTAAACGCATATTTATAAATGTGGTGGGGAAAACCAGAGGACCCGGAGAAAAATCCACGCGACCACGGGGAGAGAGACATGCAAACTCCAAATAAAAAAGCGTCAGGGTCAGGATGGAACTCACATCCTTCTGCATACGAGGTGAGGTATTTAACATCTCTGAAGTTCAACATACGTACACGAAGGTTGCCACCTTGTCCACAGTAAACCTTGACACATCTCAGCCCAGGTCGATTATCAAAACTCAAATATACTGGAATAAGGGTTCAATGCAATAATGGTACCAGGTCTCAGTACAAATCATATCCTGCCACCCAATTCCCAGTGGCAAGCCGGGCCTCCACACCTCACGGAATTCTATGGGTTTTTTGAAAAGTGTAAATATACGACTCACACCATAGAACTCGCCCCTGAAAAGAGATATTTGATCTATTTTATTGACCCATTGTATTTCTATTAGGAAACGCACACTTCTGCAAACAATTTGTAAGTACATTAAAGAGGCAGAATATGTGATGTTCTATACTTTCTAAAAAAAACATGTTTCTGCGCAAAAATACCACTATTTTCATGACTTGTGACTCGTACACGTGTGTAAGCTACACGTACTGTAATCTACGAGAGTAAGAAAACAACATAATCGGTGAAAATAAAGTGTACAGTGACTCACCAGTCTCTGCACCGCAACAGCGACTGCAACAGCGTGGAAACAAATCTGAGTCGATGGCGGCGAGGGTCTATTTACCATAGAGGAAATAGACAACGGGTATTTAACACCACAATTCCCCCGTGCAGTTTCGCCTTGTGGGCACCGTAAGTGTACTTACATCTACCCCCCCCCCACCCCCTCTGCGGAGTGTGTGTGTTGAACCCTGTTGAGTGCCTCTTACAATCACTCACCCCTGGTATGCGCGGTGTGTGGAGGACACCGAGCCGGTGATCGCGTGCGTTGGGGGGGGGTGGTGGAGACATCACCATGGAGAGTCTCTCTCTCCCCTCTGTACAGCTCTCCCACACAGATTCTTGGGAACGTTGACATCGGCCGTGGACCGGGGAGCTTTCGAGAGGCGGTGAGGTGGCACAGGCGGGAGCGCGTTCGCCTGCTGGGTTGCGGTCGGGGTTGGTGGTGGGGGAGGGGTTCGCGGTTCGGTTCCGCCAGACCGCCCTGGTTATTACTGCGGTGTGTACCGAAATACTACGCGTCCGTTCGCTTCACAGTGGACGTTAGACATCCCCTGACGTCGTTTGACAGGAGTAAGCCATTGTGTGGCGGCGGCATGCTCCCAATTTATCAACGTACAAAATATTACCGGAAAATTACTAAATTTTGGATTTCGCGTTGCAGCATCACCCCCCCCTCCCCCCCACTGTGAAACTACGGCAGACCTGTGTGAGAGAAAAACAACTTTGCGAGCGCGCCCTGTGCTATAAAAATGGCGCAAATACCAAATGTCCGAACATATTACTGCTACGACTATTATTCTTATTCACCAGGGTGAGAAATCTGTGAATCTTCCGCGAAATGCGGCGTCATTTGTAAAAATTTTGTAGGACGGGGGGTTAAAAGCGTGTTTGTGAAATTAATCATCGGATAATATTTTTCTTGAGTTACATTAGCAGGAAAAAATGTCAAATAATTAATCGCGTGTTACTTTAGACTAAATTCTGTTTAATTTCTGCAGCAG